CTCCTAGTAGTAAGGCCAGGAGCCCCTAGTAGCGTCCTTGCTCCTAGGTAGAATTCCTTTGGTCCGAAGCACTTCGCGCAAGTTCCGCGAGCCGGTGGACTTCCTCAGGCTTTGCGACACTGTGGCGGTGATCTGGCGCATGGATCACGGGTCACTGGACCCCGGCGTCACCGTGGCTCGGCCGTTGAAAAGAGTCATGCGGCATGCGTGAGTAGCCCGAAGAGGGAGACCTTAAAACCCTTGGTTTTTTTTGATGCGTTCACACATATCACACATCTGTTTGTCGTTGAGTTGTTTGTTAACAATAAGGAGGCTCCAACTGGGGGTCTCCCTATTTCACACCCAGCTTGAAGAAGGAACCAGCAGCTCCTCATGTGAGTGGACCCAACATGACCCGTCCAGACTTCGGAGCGGGATGTAGGACGCAGACCTTTGAAGGGTTCGGGATAGGAGGATTGGAACTGGGGTGTTGGCACCAATAGACATGGATGTTCATGGGTGTTTGGATAGATATTCCTCTACAGAGGCAAGATTTTGATAGATTTTGTGTGTTTGCATGCATGGCATGGGAAAGTCTTGGATGAAAGAGATTTGGAGAACCACAATTCATCCGCTGCCACCCTCTTCTGGCCGAGTTCATGCCCCAGCATAGTGCCGGGGTTGAAAGCACAAATCAAGAGACAGGGTGTGGGTGTGCTGGTATGTACTGCTAGAATCTTCTAACGACATTTCCAAGCTACAACAGCTGACATGCCAATGGGTGACCAAAAAGCAACCTCCCCTTCGACTGGCCCGCCCCATTGCCTGGCGAACGTCCTCGCTAACCCTCACTATGCGGCCTCTCGAGGAGGAGGAGATCCTCGCGAGGAAGAAACTCCTCGAGGAAGTGGGGACTGATCGGCCTGAGAAGGAGATCCCCCACCCGGCGATCGCTCATCCGCGTCGGAGCGCGACGGGAGCGATCCGATGGGTCATGGGTGGTGGGTGGGTGGTCATGGGGGGTGGGGGTGGGGGGTCGGGGTGGGGGTGAACTAGCAGATCTTTCAGGAGGGCATGTTCCCGTTCCATGTGTGGAGTGAAGCTCAACAAGGTGAGAACCACAGGGGGCCTTGTTGAAGTTAATCGAAACAATCAGGTTTTAGTCACTTGGAGCCTCTGGCTGCCAAGCTGAGTGGCAAGCGTGGAAACGATTGCAAGCTATTGAGTTCTCTTCAGACCCAACGCAGGTGGATTCCATGGTGGCATGCCAGTCAAAACATGCGCGAGGTTCCTAAGCTGAATCATTTTCGCTGCAGCCAAGAAAGGGGTGTTTCACTCCTTCCCAAAGATTCACAAGAAAAGTGGGATCCCATCCTAGGCTCCGCTTGGAATCCACCCAATGTGGCTGAATCGCACATGACGCTTCCTGGCACATGACGACGAGCTCCATCCGGCCAGGAGGCGGAATCCGAGAACGTCTGAATTGTCGCGGACAAAAGAGAGGAATTGTCCAGGGATCTGGATGCCTGCGAAGGGGGGGGGACCATGCGCAGCCGGGCCTATCATGGTGGGGCATGTTGACAATGTTGGATGGTCCAGGGATATCCAAGGTTTGTTCTTTTGCCTGCTGGTCTAGGTTCCAACTCTCTCTCCCCCTGAAAATAAAAACTCTTGTCACTCTCACGGACGAATGTCCCTTTGAAGTCTTTGGAAGCCATGCTTTCAGACCACTCGTCCCTGGTGTCGAAAACGCCTTGACCCCACGAAACGCGCACGGCGCACGAAACGCGCACGGCACCCCGTCGGGTTAGGCGACACAGCAACTGAGAGATGGCGGGAAGATCGGTGTAGCTCTGAGGGACGGCGTGGAGAGGTCGCTTTTTGGAGGTCGGTGTCCACTGGAACGAAGGAAGGAAGTTTTTTTGAAAAAAGGCAAAGGGGTGAAGGGTAGCAATGGTTTTGGAAATGATCCTCCTACCAGCTGGTTAGACAGTGCATGGCTGCTATAGATAACAATAGACTCATACATAATATATATGCTCATATCAACTCCGAAGATTGGAGATTATATATATGATATATTATATGATTGTTCCTGGACATAGAAACAGGGGCCTGGGAAACATGGAGTAGGACGGCTCAGCTTATGGGTACACACATACCGAAAAGGCAAACATTTTGGACGGTCTCATACTGTTTAATAAGGCAGGTTTGGTGAACGAATTAGGTACGTATCCTCATGCATCTTCATGGTTGACCAGGTCTGGGGCAGTGGACCTGAGTTCTGAAGGCTGACCAAGGCAGCTCCAATTGATTCCAAGCTATCAAGCTTTGCACCAATAGCTCTTTTTGGATTCTCCTATCGTTTAGCTAAGGCTAATAAGATGTTTGACCCACAGCATGGGATTCATAAACATCTCCAGCCACACTTACCAGGTGTCTTGTTGTCGTGTTGGGAGTGTGCCGGAATCACAGCCACTTGTTTGAGTTGCAGGGACCTAACCTGTACGGACAGTGAGTGAAGTTCCACCACATCCTCATCCTCAAGAAGAACTTCAACTTGTTTTTCTACATTCCCTGGAATTATCATGGATACTTGGATGGCATGGCCCCGAGTTCGGATGACCATGGAAATCTGATTGCCAAGCAGTCGGTGCTGCCATCCACTCCACTTCAATGCTTTTTGGGAAGTTGCCAAGCTCATCACCGTCAGAGCCGCTCTGTTGGTGTGGGTGTTTCGATGCCCATCCTGGTGGAGGATTTCACTGCCATGTCGAAGACCCGCACTGGAAATGTCACCCACGCACTTCTACCAAAGCGGTAAGGCTAGTTTTACAAGGAGGACAAGGGAAGTATCTAGGAGCCCATCATTGTGTTTGTGCGAACACCCCATTCGTCCTCTCCTCTCTCACCAAAAGAGGCGCCTCGCGGAAAACAGACGAGCGGACGCTTTCTGGAGCTTTCAGAGCGGTGTTTCGTTTGGCTTTCAAGGGGGTGGGTGATTTGTGCCCATTGTCTCAATAGATGAAATGGTGTCATATGGGCAAGGATATGTAAGGATAATCCTCCCAGCTGTGAACGCATGACCAGGGCTGTAGAAACAGTGTGTTTGTGTTTGTGTTTGTTTTGTTTTGCTTCTATTGTTGGACCAAGGTGCCAAGGTGTATTATCATGTATTATCTATACACACTGCGATGTCGAAGCCCACAAGTTCAACTGCTTTGTGTGTATACACGTGCATATATATATATATAGATTAGATGATTTCTGCATGTTTGATCACATGATATCACATGTTGTTGTTTGCTATGACATGCTGTTTGCTGTGTTTGGCGGTGTGGTCAACGGTCATTTTGTTGGAACTCCGTCCGAACTTGTGAGGCCCTGAGAGCTTGTACTATACATACTGCTTCGAATATTGGCCTGCAGACTGGGCTGGACCCATCTTGGGACGGTTGGAAGTGCGCTTATTCTCCCTCCCATTTGATGGCCCAACAAGAGTGAGAACAACGTATTGGGAGAGAGACCGCCACCTGCCTCAAAGCATTACAAATGTTGGAACGGTTGCAGCACGCATGCAGCACAAATCGCATTGAAACATCCAAATCATGGTGAATCCTATTATATAAGCTAATATATATGCTAATTGTACCACATCTCCGATTGCAGGCTATAATTGCTGCAGCTGCTCAGCTGGAAATCCTCCTTTGCTTCAAAACCCCTCGGCCAGAAGAAACTGGTCGACCGATTCTTCCCGATTTCGCTGTTTTCCGCGAACGAACCGAGACCTCGTCTACCTCGGTCGTAGCGGACAGGAGTCGGTCGAAGTCAAAGAATTTCAGTTCTACCTCGGAAAAGAATGGGTTACAGCTTCGACACGAGCGCAGATGCGGGTTCAGTCCAGTTCAGATTGGTACTCCATCTCAAAGGTCCATGAAATGGGTAAAATGACAAGTGCTCCATGTTACCGGAGTGTACC